TTTTTTTTTTTTTTTTTTTTTCTGTTGTACTCTCTGTTCTCATAACGTTGAGGGTTCTGCAGCCTTGGACTGACTGATCCTGTCGTTCAGGCTTTTAGCTCTTTCTCTTTTTTTTTTTTTTTTTTTTTTAATCTGACGAAAAAAGTCGGAAAAACCCTTGCAGAGATCTGTCAATTACTCTCTGAATGCCAATCCCAGTTGCGTCTGAAGATTTGTTGGGGGAGTCATCAGCTGTTATTATCATGTATTTGGTGGGACTTCAGTCCAGATGCAGCGACACCCGGTATCCTAAGAGCTAGGTGGCAACAAGGGCAAGTTATATCACAATTGATTTTCAACAGCTGGTGCATTGACCTGAGGCAATGACTTTGTCGACTTTTTGCTGACTTAAGGAAATGGATCCGCTGACTCGAGTTGATCGATTCATGGACTTGAGTCAATGGATTGACTGACTTAAGCCAGGCTGAAGAATGGATTTATACCTAGACAGGCTAGACTGTTAAGCCAGGCAGCAGTTTATCGGCCTTAATCTGACTGGCAAATAGCCTCTGATGATGGCTATGCACTGAGAGTAGTTCAATGCAATTGACTAAAACGATTCACCAGAGCATAGATAATCTAACGAGAGCATAGATAACCAATTGATCGCTAGACTCGGCCAAACAATAGATCCGTTCATTATTCTAGCATTCTCCTTGGCTTTGTGTAATACAGTTATGGGTTGCCAAAAATGCGCTGGCATGTTCGACTAGCTCGCCCCATTACTGAGGCATATGCTGGTCACTCCTCAGCGTCTCTGTCCCCTGCAGATTCAGCTAACCCCTCAACTCTGGTGTGTGTGTGTGTGTGCTTGTTTGTGTGTGTGCTCGTGTGCGTGTGGGTGTGCATGCGTCTGCATGTGTGTGTGTCTCTGTGTGTGTGTGTGTGTGTTTGTGTGTGTGTGTGTGTGTGTGTGTGTGTGTGCGCGTGTGTGTGCGTGTGTGTGCATGTGTGGGTGTGGGTGTATAAAAACCATGAAATAAACCGTAGCAACCCGAAATACGGGAATCTCTTCACAGCTCCACTCACCTGCATACCATGCTCTACGTGTAGCTTGTGTCTCAGACTGACTGATGTCACGCCATACCTGTAAGTATTCACATATATACAACCATAGAGGGTGGGAGGAGAGATATGGAAGTCTGATGGCAAAGCCATCAGAAGTTGGTGCAGTGACTAACCGAGGAGGGTTAGGGAGATCATATCATATGGGGAGGGTGGCATAGTAGCTTGGGGCTCACGATGTGCTCGCTGATGTCGGCATCAGTGATGTGCTCATCCATGGCAACCATCGTCCTAGTTGAAGACAGGTAGCCCGTAGCCCGTTAGCGATCGCAGTGTCAGCGCAGGATCGAGATCTCTGTTTCTGCCGATCAATGTCTCACGAACTGCTCACAGTAGTTACCCTTAAGTTTGAGTAAGTGGTGGCAGCAGTCCGACGAGAGAGTGGTTGGAACCTTCAACTGCAGGCAGCTATGGTGGACTTGAACGCCGGTCATCGCATTCGACTCCGTAGGGAGGGGTCCCTGCATATCAAAGGTCTTTGACTGAGACATGGACTTGGCTCATATTCTGTAACACTGAGGGCCATATTCTGTAAGACTGAGGGCCATTTTGACAGACTCTGGGACCCTTTCAGACCCTTTCAGACTATTTTGTGATGCCCTGTAAAATTTCTGGAAACGTTCAGAGTCGCAGCCTTACAGGTGCCCGTTTCTGTGTTGGACTTGAACCCTGGTCATTGCATTATCAATTTACTAACAGCTATGTGTGTGTAGTACACTGTGTACCGTTCAGCGAAGAGGTTGGATGGTGAAGGCTGGGTTCTTGCATATGCCACATGTTCAATTGTTGATTTGACAGCTGTGGCACCATGCATTTGCATGGCATTCTTCATTTCTCAATCTACTGGAGATTGGAATTCTCAACAAACAGATCAACGGGACACCATTTCCTCAGAACGCAGGTCATTGGGCACCACACAAGAAAAGCAGTGTTCCTCAGAAGATGCGTAGTACTCCGGCTTCATTTCTGAATTTACTTTTCTAAGTTTTCTTACTACTATTGTTTTTTCTTTTTTTTTTTTCCTGCTCTTTATGTGTTTGCTGTTCTTTCATAACTTGCATTGAATTTTTATTGAATCAATTTAAGAAGAATCGACAAATGCCAATGGATATTTCGAAAACCACCCAGCCCATGTGGCTGAATGGGGTACACCATACCTAAAACGTCCGGTCCGGTCCGGGTTCGTCTGGTCCGGGGGGAGGGTGCCGCACACGGCAAAGCGGACCGGACCGGACGCTCGTCCGGTCCGTCTGCTTGCAAGTATGGGGTACACACATGTAACCGTTGATGAGCAGATCACGAGTTCAAAGTTCAGACTTGTGCTGATGAAATCAGATGGATGTACTAACGTTAGTTTGTGGGGGGAGAGAAGAAGGGGGGGG